ACGCGCATATATAAATTTTAATAGAAATGATATTATTCTTAGATGGGGGTTCGATGATGAGTTGCGATCCTTTAGTCTTTAATTCTTGTCACATGTGAAGTAGCATTGTGATCAAAGGTTGGAGTCTAGATGATGCGTTGTAGTAAGCCTTCATCCCTCCCTCACATGTTTATGAATTCAAAATGAAACAATGTTATAATCATGATGGAGGCAATGATATGTGTAATGTGTTTAAGTTTGACACTTAGCTCTTTCTCTCACAATTATGAATCTACTGAGGTAAATCTTTGGAGACTTTGCTCTCAGTGGATATAGAGTTTGATCGATTGTTGCCTAAATGCCTTATGAAACTACCTATAACAATGGAGGTTTTTAGATGTTGCGTTCTTAGGACATGGAGTTCTATTAATTTTTCCACTTATGAGATGCAATAGGACTTCCTGTAAGGGTGGTTTTTAGAGGCTACTCTTATATCCACCCATGAGTCTCAATGAGGTTGCCATCTTTGAGGGAGGCCCTTAGAAGGTGCCTTAAGAGCTTCTAGGGAGTTGCCTCCATTAAGGGAGATCTTCAATGATTACCCCAGGGAGATGAGTTTGATCTATTTTGTTACCCAGGAGCCTCAACAGGGATGCCTCCATTAAGGGAGACCTATATACTTTGCACTAAAAGAAATTTATTAGATTAAATCTTGTTAATATTAAATTGGCATAAATGGGTATTCTTACTTAGTCTACTTGCAAGCTTACTAAATGAGATTAAAATTATTGCACGAGGTTTTTAAGTTGACCTAAATAAATAAAATATTTGATCTTCTTTAGTGCACCTTCTTTTATTTGTGTGACCTTGACCCATATGGAAGTGATAATACTTGGATTAACGTCCTAATTATATTTTTTGGTGGTTATCCTTGATTGATAAAATCTTCATGGTAGATATAGTTGCTTGAGATCAGCATTTAAAGGTGGGCCACTACCACATTGTTAAAATGCTTTTTCTCATGCTTTACATACATTTGTATGAATTGCTAATTGTAAGTGAATGATTCAACTATTGATTTTCCTCTTGGTTATAATGAGTAAATTTGAAGCAAGATTTTTCTATTGAAAATCTTAATGGGGTCAAATTTAAGAGCCTTTTAACACGTCTTATTTATTTTTACCCAATTTGTTGTTATGAGTTTTGGAATTGGGAATCCCTGGGGCTTAGAGAACTAGATTCTAGGTAAAGGGCGGTTACGCTTCAAAGCTAAAGTGGGGATTGAGAGATGATGCAAGAATACTTTCCATAGACGACACCCCATTCCTATATGCTAGGAAGTTGCCTTGGGGTGGTTGAGGTTTTAAAAGTTGGCTACCTTGTAGCTTGTGCTTGCATCTTACTCTAATTGAGGGTTGTAGCCCTTATGAAGGATTTCTTATACTCAAATTTTTTAATTGACTTGAAGAAGAGTTGAAATCAATTCAACATTGATTTTCTTATGAATTGACCGGGGAGGAAAAAATCCTTAACCCTTAAGATTTTTTATAGAATATCAAATGAGTGTTTCTTTAATACCATTGTAAAATTGCATAAAAGATGAGCCGTGACTTCTCTAAGATTTGTGTCGGACCAAATAATCCCTTTATGTGAGTAATTCAGTTCGTTAGTTAATTGGAGGATGGGTAATCGATCCACATAACCTTTGAGATATGTTAGATCATGCACTTGCAATGATGAATAGATTGATGGAGGCCTTAGGCCATAATATTATTGGTGCTTGATATTTTAAATAAATGATTAGATCTTTACTCATGGTTCAAGCCCAATGGTTCAAGCCCAATGCCATGATCTAAATTTGATGGCCGAATTCAGACAAGAAATCACATGACTTGATGGCTCGGGACATGCTTCATTTAGGTTCATAGGCAAGTGACATGAACTTGATATTAGCAAGCATTGTGGAAGTTAGGACCCTTGTCCTATCCGAACTTTGTTGTGTGGATATATTAATGAGTTATTGTTGCCCTTGCTTGATTGGTTGGAATTAAGCAGGATTTATTTTTTGAGCGCCATACTACTTAGAAGGCATTACTTTTATAGGTTTACTTTCATCTGTTTGTTTATCTATTTGGTTATCTTAGGCAGGTTAATTTTATGGTTCTTTTAGTTTGAATTCAAGTTTGCACCATCTAGTTTCACTTTTGCACTTCAAAGCCAACTATTTGTTAGATGTTGGTTCAAATATGTTCTAACTTTTGAGGAATTATTCATGTTGGCCAAGTTTTTACAACTATACGTCATTGTCTGCATATTCATGTAATACATACCAACAATGACATTCAGTGATTTTTGCATATTTGTCCTTGCTATTTAGATACTTTTTATTATTTTGCGGATATTTGTGTTCTTCATGATGTTCATTGGGTATTAAATGTTGTACCCACCTTTTAGCTTTTTGTTTCATCGTTTCTTGATCTACCATCTATTTGCATCTTCTAATTTTTTTCTCATCTCTTTGAACTCATGATTCCCCACTCTCCATTCTTGCTGTTCAAACTTCCCTCATTTCTATCATCTTCACTAATTCACTAACCATTCCCTCTCAGCATTTCGGTCCAAGTAAGCCATCCTGAAAATACTTTTGTTTGTATATAAAAAAATAAAATAATGTATATAATAACAAAGATTTGTAATCACTCAAGAAAAAAAATAAAACAAGGGAAAACAAAAAACCCACGATGACAAAGAACCAAATCACATTGCACACATCCTCCACGTCGTGGGAAAAATGACTGCTTGTGCAATTCATATAAAACGATGAGGAAAACGAAAAATTGAAGATTACATTTACTTGTATTTTGAGTTTTCTCTCGCTCTGGAGATCACGACACCCTCCATTCTCTCTCGATTTCTTGCACTCATGTCGGAAGCCAACCACATACACCTCCTATCGGATTTACTGTTCGAAGAGCTTGATTCTTCCGATCAAACCCATGCTCTTGACTTCCCGTCTTGACCAAACGGTACCCCACCTTTCCCGTTCCGACCCGGATGCCTGCTTCTCGAGCGAAACCCAGCCGCTGATCTCCTCATGTGTTCGATTGAATGTGACCCCTGTTTCGTTTCTCGCCGGCCACACCATCTCCTCCACACACGAACTTCATCGTCGTTCAAATCCAGCTTCGCCAGGTACCTACACGCACAAACAACCACAGTCCGCCTGCCCGATCCTGTTCGCTTTCCTCTTGTTTGAACCCTCATGTGAACAAGAATCCCAGAGCTTTTCATCCCTCCTATGTGCGAACGAAAGCCAGGCCAAACAGCCTCCCTCATGTCCATCTTACTCAAGCAAACACACGCTATTTGTTTTCTTGAAATAATGTCGCCTCAATACCTGAATACGCAATTTTAAACTCTCCAAACTGTCAAAAACACTCTCAGACTCTTAGTAGTAGACTTAGTTGCAGCTACCTGTGAGCTCTCCAAAACCCCTATGCAACTGCAAGTTCCAGCCTTTTCAACTCCAAGCTACGAGCACCAATAAACATGTAGATGAAAGTTAGCGCAGGGTTAAAGGGAAAAAGTTAGTGCGGTACAGAACAAAATTAGTGCTAATAAAGCAAAATAGGTACTAATAAAGCTACTGCTGAAGTAGGAAAGCTACGAGCACTACAACGAGCAAATTTATAGTAAACTATTGAAAGCTAGGGTAGAAAGCACTAGTGTTAGGTGGTAGGGTGTGTCACCCAAAAGTCAGCCCAATAGACAACAACTATCGAAAATATGATAAATTCCAACTAAATTAATGCACACAAACTCCCAAGGGTAGTCATAAACTCTCCCCAAGGGGAGTAATCAAAAGTCGTAAACTCTCCCCAAGGGAAGTAATCAAACCCACTGGCTACTTCTAAAGGGAAGCAGTAAATCCTACAAATTAAATGCTACACGGGCCACCTTTAAAATAGTTCGTAACAAACTCTTATCTAATACCATATCCAGCTTATTGGTTCATGTAGTTAGGGATGTTAAAATGGGTTTTCGAGTCGGGTTTATGTCCAACTTGAAATTGATCCGCCTTCAATTGATCCTACCCGATTAGACAAATGGGTTAGAAATCTAGACCCGAACCCAACTCATCCCTAACTCGGGTTGATCAGACTCGGCCCGCTGACTTGATTGAGCACAACTGTGATTTAGCGAGCGAATGGGGGAGTGCGACTGGGTAAACTGGCAAGCGGGCAACGGGGGTTGCAGCGTGCGGTGAGTGCGAGCGCAAGGATGAGCGCGGATGGACGAGCGAACGACCTTGAGCGCGATTGTGCGGGTCATTTTTGGGTTGATTTCGAGTTTTTAGGTTCACCTGAACCTGAACCGAGTTTGCAATCGTGTCAAAATTTGAAAACCAAACCTAGCCTATTTTCCAAACGGGTTGACCCAAACTCGCGATTGTGCTGGTCATTTTTGGGCTGATTTTAAGTTTTTAGGTTGACCTGAACCTGACCCGAGTTTGCAATCGAGTCAAAATTTGAAAACCAAACCCAACCCATTTTCCAAACGGGTTGACCCAAACTCGAAATTTTTGAGTTGGGTTTAGGTTGGGTTTTTGGGTCATGTCAAATATTGACGCCCCTACATGTGGCATTAGAAACTGAAATTGAGCTCAACTCAAACCAGTCAATTTTACTGGTTTTGTGCAGTTTTATTGTTTACGCAAGTTTTGACCACCTCCACTTGAGAGTTTCTGTTATTATAGACGTTGACAGTTTAAAAAAGCCCATTAAAGTTCAAATTAGCTTTCCCTGGAGTTGAATTTTTTAATAGTTATCACTTTCTTATATTTGAATGTTATATTAATCTTTTATCTTGAAATATCATATGCTGATTGTTACTTATGCTTTTTGATCTGTAATTTGTTTGAAAATCCAAGCTGTGTGGTGTTCTATAAATTTTTTCATATAAGCTTCTATTCCGTAAGCCAATCTAGATGCTCTTTCATATATGTTTAGTTTGTGAAACAGGAAAGGTCAACTGGTCGATCTCGTGGGTTTGGTTATGTAACATTTGCCTCAGCAGACGATGCAAAGGTGATCACACAATTATCAACTTTTCTTTATACTAATATCTAAATGAATCTTTGCATGTTGGGTTTATATGTTGGATTCCTTGGTGAAGCTAAGGTGTCCTAACTTTTGTTTTTTTTCCCCTCATGGTTAAAGGTTTAGCTTTCGTTACACAAATTTTACATAAATTCAGTCAGCCCTAATTTATTTAATTTATCAGTCGGGATTTTCGTGTTTGCAATATTTAATACTGTTAACAAAGTTTTTGAGCTCGTTATAGGCATCAAGTTTGCTTTGATTACTAAGCAAAGGTATATGGCATCCAAGACCTGTTTGGTTGCATTTAAGTTAAAATAAACCAATAATCTAAAAAGCTGTGGTTGCAAACCTCAATGTCTACAATTGTCAAAAATACAAATTGTGTGAGAATATGAATATATTGAAAGATGAATTTTTTAGCAGATTATATATTTATAGTAGGAGTTTAGCTTTTTAATTTCCTTAATACATGCCTATTTTATTACTCTTTTTCTGAGATTTTTTTTTGTACTAATGATATGAAGTTCAAGTTCAATGTACTTCTTTGTTCTTGTGACTCTAGTTTCTCTGTTAAGCAGGAATTCTTGTTTGGGGTTAGATTCATTATTTAGACCTCATTTACAACTACGAATCTTTGGCCATGGAAGTATATTTGTGTCGCACGTATTCTATCCAAAACATTTAGTGCCTTATTTGATGATGGACTTCATAGATTATCTCCTTTCAATAGGTTTTGTGACATATGTAGATTCTTGGAGAAACCTTTAATGGTAGATTGTTTTTTTACCGTTGGCAGAATTTCCTTTTTTTTTGTTTTTTGTTTTTTTGGTTTCAACTTTTCATGACTTAGTAGTTAGTAGATATGAAAATCAAAGTAGTTATTGTTAATTTGAGAGGTACGAGAGGGAAAAAGCTTTAGTTTTATTGCATAAGTTCTTCCCTGTATATAGATATATACAAGATATTTAATAAGGAAACAAATAACTACACAATAATGAAATATAACGCTTCCTAAATCAGCTGCCCATCTATGGAAGGTGTTTCAACGTGATTCATGAGAGCTTCCCACGGATTGCTCTCTGTGATCGTCAGATCCTTTGCACAGGGAACAGCTGGATTTCAACACTCCCCCTCAAGCAGGAAAATATGGATCTGTCATTCCCAGCTTGTCAATCATTCTGAGAAAGGCAGAACTGTCCAGTCCTTTGGTAAGAATGTCTGCAAGTTGATCCTTTGATGATACATGGTGGATACTTACTAGACAACTGTCTAGTTTTTCTTTAATGAAATGTCTGTCCATTTCTATGTGCTTGGTCCTGTCAGGCTATACTGATTGCTGATTTGTTGTCACAATATAGCTTCATGGGCTCATCCCACTTGACCTTTAAGTCTTCTAAGATTATTTTGATCCAAACTGACTGACCATGCTTACAACAAATGCTATATCTGGTTTAGTGTGTGAAATATAGATTAATTTTCCTACCAGTCTCTGGTAGGCCCCTTTATACACATCTGGATCTTCTTTAGCTTTCCCCATTTTAAGATTAGGTTCTACTGATGTTGGTGCTGGCTTACAGGCTAGTTTCCCTGTTTCTTTCAGAAGATCTTTAATGTACTTTTGTTGTGAGATGAAGATTCCTCTGTTGGAGTGAGCTACTTTGATTTCAAGTAAGTATTTTAGTCTACCAAGTTCTTTGATGTCAAATTCCTTGGTAAGACTTTTCCTTAGACTATCTTTCTCATTTACATTATTTCCAGTCAAGATAATATCATCCACATACACTAGCAATATTGTGACTCCCCCTGAGTCTGAATGTTTAAAGAATAGTGTATGATCCCCTTGGCTTTGTTTATACCCGTTAAGGAGCATAAACTTAGAGAACCTTCCAAACCAGGCCCTTGGTGATTATTTGAGCCCATATAGGGCCTTTTTTAATCTGCACACTTTGTCACCTTCAGATTTTTCCTTGAACCTTGGTGGTATTTCCATAAATGGCTCTTCCTCCAGATCCCCATATATGAATGCATTTTTCACATCCAATTGTTCCAGATGCTAGTTGTACTTCGCTGCTAGTGAGAGTAGTATTATGACAGTGTTCATCTTGGCTATAGGTGCAAAGGTTTCTTGATAGTCAATGCCATATGTTTGAGTGTAAACTTTTGCCACTAGTCTTGCATTATATCTTTCTAGTGTGCCATCAGCTTTGTACTTTACGGAGAATACCCATTTTCATCCAATCGATTTTTTTTCCTGTCGGTAGATTGATGATTTCCCATGTTTTGTTCTTTTCTTGGGCCTGCATCTCATCTATCATGACATTTTTCCAATTTTTATCAGATAAGGCCTCATAAATATCTTTAGGAATATGAATATCTTTTAGTGTAACCAAGAAATTTTTATGTGAAGATGAGAAGTTGAAGGATATAGAGTTGGTTATAGGGTATAAGGGAGGTGGTAAGCTTATTTTGTTTCCAGGAGATGGTTCAGATTCTTGGATCTGCTTTGGAGTATAATCTGAATTTGTACGCCTAGAGTATACCTTTTTAAATCTAATGTCATCTTTGTCTTTTGTTTCCCTATCCTGATTTTCAGGTGGATTGGTTTGAGGTGGTAGAGGAAGGTCAAGAGTTGTTAGTTCATTTTCCTCATCTTCCTTAAGTTCGGTCTCCCCCTGAAGATGAGGTTTGAAAAAATAAGAACTTTGTTCATCAAAAGTAACGTCAACAAAGTGAAAGGTTTTTCTTGTAGGAGGATGATAACACTTGTAACATTTTTGGGTAGCTGAATCGCCAATAAAGATGCATTTAAGTGCTCTTGGATCTAGTTTTCGTCTTTTTTGACTTTGGATATGAACGTAGGCTGTGCACTCAAAGATTTTTGGTGTAAGGTTATGATGGGTTCGAAATTCGGGATAAAATGAGGACAAAATTTCCATTGGAGTATTGAGTCCAAGGGTTGTTGAAGGAAGTCGGTTTATGAGATAAGTTGCAGTTAGGAGAGCTTCTCCCCAATAGGATTTGGGTATATTGTAGTGGAATAGAAAATCTCGAGTGGAGGCTAGAAGGTGACCCTTTTTTCTTTTTGTAACCCCATTTTGTTGTGTCGTGTGAACGCAGGACTCGTGAATGATCCCTTCATTTTGGAAGTAGGAGGAAAGGGTTTGGTTAAAATAGTCTTTGGCATTATCGGAGCGAAATCTCCTTATTTTCACCCCGAATTGATTTTGGATCATTGTATGAAATATGTGAAGAATGGTGCTAACATCTGATTTATTTTTAGAAGATAGATATAAGAGATTCTATTGCAATCATCTATGAATGATACAACCATCGAGCGTCAGAGATATTGAGGATTTTTGAGGGTCCCCATATATCACTGTGAATAAGATACAAAGGAGTATCATATCTCTTATTTTTATTTGGGAAGGAAGTTCTTTTATGTTTGACTAACTCACAAGTTTTACAATGAAGATGTTTATTTTCTAATTTTTGAAAAAGTTGTGGATACATATATCTTAGGACATCAAAAGATGGGTGTCCTAACATATAATGATGAAGCCAAATAGTGGAATTTTTATCAACTAAGGATAATATAGAGCAACTATTTTTAGTTAGGTTCAGTTTTTTCAAGTAGTACAATTCAACTTTCTCCTTAGCAAGTCCAATCTTCTTCCCCGATCTCTGGTCCTGAAATAAGCAATAGGTAGGGTTAAATAACGCTTGACAATTATGATCATTGGTAAGTTTTTGGATTGAAATTAGGTTTGTGGATATTTGAGGTACGTGGAACACATTTTTTAGGGTGAGTGAGGGAGATAATGTTATGTCTCCTTGGCCTGCTACCGTGGTAAGAGGACCATCGACAATGATGATTTTCTTGTTGGTTGTACAAGGAGTATAGTTGATGAAGTGGTTAGGTGAGTGGGTCATATGGTCTGTGGCTTCTGAGTCAATGATCCATAATTTCTTTAAATGATTTCTAGAGGCACTTAAACTAATAAAAATCGGAAACTTACCTGAGAGTGCAAATGAGGAAGATGCGTTTGGATTTTCAAGGGATACCAAAAGTCTTTTCACTTTATTAATATCTTCTTTATTGAGTTCTCCAAGGTTGGACTGTGCTTCCGGGGTGGGCTAACTTGTAGTGTTGTTGGCATGCGACATGCTCCTTGTTTCACCTTTTTGATTCCACTCCTTGCTAGGGGGTTTTTCATGTATTTTCCAGCACATTTCTTTTGTGTATCTTGACTTTTTGCAATAACTACACCAAAGTGAGTCATTATCTTTGAATTTTGACGAATTTTTACTTTTCTCCTTCCATGACAATTCTTTGTTCATCACCATTGCTGAGATTTCAATGACCTTTGGTTCTAACATCACTCCTTGTCGGCTTTCTTCTGCACGGATGAGAGAAATGTTTCATTGAGTGATGACATCTCCTCTTTGCCGAGGATCTGAACCCTAACTTGGTCAAATTCTGCATTAAGTCATGCAAAAAATTCATAAACTCTATATTTTTCAATAAAGTTCTTTAGGATCGCAACATCTTTCGGACATCTGGTTTCTATGCACCTATAGTGATCAAGTTCCTGCCACAGATTTTGTAGAAGGGTGGCATACTCCGTCAGGGTCTCACTCTGATGCTTTGTACTTTCAACTTTGACTTTAATTTCAAAGATTTGAGCCGCATCACGAGCTTTGGAGAAGGTATGTCTGGCAGCATCCCATATGTCCTTTGCAGTCGAAAGAAACATAAATGTATCGCTAATTTCTGGAGTCATGGAATTCCACAACCATGACATAATCATGAAGTCTGCTTCATCCCATGCCCCAAATTTAGGATCTCCTTCTTTTGGTCCTCCTCCAAGGAGGTGATGTATTTTCCCTTTCCCCTTCAAGTAGGCCTTCACAAATTGAGACAACTTTAGGTAGTTCTTTCAATTTAGACGATAGGAAGGTTGCATGCTTTGAAGGTCACCTCGTTC